CTGTAGCACAGGGCAGTGGACAGAGACTTACCAGAAAATAAGGAGATGTGACCTCAACTTGTGAGCATTTCTTGGTTAGGACAGGGCTAGGGTTGACCTGCACTCCCCCAACACATATGCTAATGTCCTCACTCCCAGTTCTTGTAAATGTGGACTTCTTTGGAAATAGGGTCTTTGCAGATATACTCACATGAAGATGAGGTCATTAGGACAGGCCCTGATATGACTGGTGTACTTATAGGGAGAGAACATTTAGATAAAGATTTGCGGGAAGATGGCCATGTGATGACAGAGGCAGAGAGGGGGGTTCCCACAAGCCACCAGGATAGAGTTGGCAAGGAGGGGATCCTCCCTTAGAGCTTCTAGAGAGTCTGTGACCCTGCTGATGACCATGAGTTTGACCTCAGGCCTCCAGAACTCTGAGGAAAATGCTTTTCTCAGAGTACTAGGGATAGCCCTGAAGGTGTGGCTGACTGCAGCAGCTGGCTGCTGGCTGGAGGTCTGGGCAGGAGGTGCATAGGGCCGTGCTGCTGTGGGAAACACCATGCACTTTCCTGGCCCTTTCCCCAGTTTGGTCATGTGAGTTAACTCTGGATTAGGGAAAGTTTGAACCACTTTGGGGTACAGGCAAGTTGTCATACATGAGATTTCATCAGAAACAGTGAATTTGAATGCAAAAATGTTGCTGGCCAGTCAGTAGGTACTCTTCCAGAGTTCTGCTGCTTAGGCACTTTTACTTCCTCAACTCAAAAAGTTGGAAAGAACTGGAAAGCACTCCCAATCAAGAAGCAAGTGCTGTCTACCATCAAATGTAAGCAGCTTTTAACTGAGTGATGGCCTCCCAGAGGCTCTGGGTTCTGCTGACCTCTGTGGGTGCCACAACTGGGCAGTGGTGGGTGGGCCCTGGTTATGCCCAGGGAGTCCAGGCATGACAGGGGGGTGAGAATCCAGGAGAAGCCAGCCCTGAGGGACAGCAGGCAGCCCACCAGATGAGCAGGAAGGACCCCTGTTAGTTTCAGTAAAGATGACAAAAGAGAAGTCAGGTAGGTGTCAGTAATTAAAAGCCACAGCATAAAACGTTGACTCACTCACTCAGCAAACATTTTATTAGCTGCCTACTCTCACACCAGACTGTGGGGAGATCACAGGAGCTACCTTTACTTATTGGGCACTGACTAGGTCCCAGACACTAGTACTCATCATCTCATGATCTCATTTTTTGGAGATGTACTCATCATCTCATGATCTCATTTTTTGGAAATGTTCCAGAAGACACACGCACTGCTAAAGAGAGAGAGGATGAGAGAGAAAGAGAGAGACAGCGAGAAAGCACCCCTCCAAGGGGATAATCATGCCACAAACCCTCTCCTCCTTCTATCCTTCCCATCAGGATTTTGGGCAAGTACACACACATGCCCAGCATGTTTCTCAAGCTGCCAGGTCCAGGACTTGAACTATGTCATCAGCAATATGGCATCCAGCCATGCTGGCCTCCATGGTCTCATCTTATTCTTACAGCAGTTGAATCAGGCAATCACTACTGTGTAGATAAAGAGCTGAGAACTCATGAGCCGGATCCATGCCCAAAGGGCTGAGTATGGATTCCACCTCAGGTGTGCCTGACTGCAAAGCCTCTCCCTCTACTCCAAGCTCGTGCCGTACATTAGAAAACAAACAGAGCTCTCTCTCTCTCACTGTGAGAGGTCCACAGTACAGTAAGGCCACCACAATGCCACCAGGGATTGAGGGGACGAGGGCAAAGGGAGCCTTGCCAGGGCTCTCTGCTCACTACCTCTCCATGTAATTAAACATGTCCAAGGTGTGACAGGTAAGAGGGCTTCCCAGTGGAGGCCAGGGAAGGTGGGCATGGGGACAGGTAATACCCTCCTGAAAGACGCAAACTGTTCAGTGTCAGAGGAGTTACGGCTGAGGAATGGGGCTATCAGACTTAACTTTGAATTATTTTCAAGACCTGCAGAAATGGGATATTGTAATAAGCACACACACGCACACACACACACACACACACACACACATGCACACATACAGTCATAGCAACACATTTTAGAAATATGAAACATTAATTTCTTTGTTCAAAAAATAGCAGTGGCATGAAGGTTCCTTTCCATGACTGCAAAGCCATGGGGTAGTCCTCCTGCTGCCTGTAAGACATCACAGAGAGCCAAAGAGTCTGCTCACATGACCTACCAGCGGTCTCTTAGCCACATGCGAGGAAGCAGCCAGTGGTTTAACTCAGGCTATGATGTCTGTTTTTCTAGGCTATTCTGAAGGGTGACACTTTGGGAAGAGAGACTGTGCTCCTAACTGCTTTTGTTTGCTTTTGGAAAATTCTAATTATAAAGCCTTTGGTGTGCATGTATGTGTGTGTGTGGGGGGGTGTCTCTTTAATTTTTTACTGGACATTTTGCTTGGTCAGTAAAGTCAATGACTAAATAGAAGGAGTCACTTTAAATGACACAATCAAAAATTTCAGGGCATGTAGGGGACTATCTCTAGGAGGTCACCAGATTCAGTTGAAGCCAGTTCTACAGAAGTGACATCAATGGGGGGAAATCTGGTTAATGCTTCAGTTTAGGGAAATATTTCACACTGCCCTTTGGAAGCAAGAAAGTCACTTGACTTACTGAAGAAACTTAATAATGAGGACATTCTCTTTTCCACAAGGGGCTCCTTTAAAGACAAATAGTGATGGCTGGGCTAACAGTGTTACATGCCAAATACTTCTGTGTGTGTGCACAGATATACACAGAACATGCAGAAGAGATGGACCTCAGCCTCTGGTTCCCGACAAGGAGCAACATTTCCTCCAGGGGAGTAACTGGCAGCTCGTGGAAACATTTTTTGCTGCTACAACTGGCAGATGGGGATGCAATGGGCATCTAGTGAGTGTAGGTCAGGGATGCTGCTGGACATCCTCCAATGGCCAGGATAATGTCCCTCCCACCATCCCAACACACTCAGCAAAGAAGAATCTGGCCCAAAACATCAGTGGGGCTGAAGCTGAGACACTCTGATGTACAAATCAGCTTATATGGGGCAAAAGGTCACTAAGTCTGTGTATAAGTATCAGTTCAGTAGTAAACATAATTGGCAAGCTCAAGACTGCATGTTGTCTTTGTGCAAACTATCAAATACGTGCTTGATGCAATAGATTACATGTGGTGTACATGTACTGCCTTTGCTTTGGTGCATGCATGTATGCACGTGTGTTGCCACACTCACACATGAACACTGAGAGGGGACTGGATCCTAGCTGCCATATTCAAGGTGCTGCACACGGCCAACCTCAGCCTGGATGGTTGGCACCATCTGCTCATTGGGCAGGTGACCAAGTTCATGCCCAGCATCTTGGGAGGCCTTCTGGAGGTTTCTGGAAAAACAAACAAATCCACGCAAAACCAAGGGCACGAGGACCATGGCTATCATCATAACTGGGAGCAGTACCGGAGCCCATAGTAGCAGCTTTGCAGCTGTTGTCAGAGTGGCTCGAAGACCAACCTGACAGACCAGATGGCAGACAGTGAGGACAAGCCTTGGGCTATGGCTAACTCTTGCAACTGTGGTGCAGCTGTAATACGGGTACTCTGCAAAACTGGAAGCCACATGGTAGCTGCAGGTTCAGGCCCCTTGGTTAGCCTGGAATGAAGCCAGGCACACACAAAGGCATTGAGGGGACTGGGAAGCTGCAGGGCTGGTGGCACAAGATCACAGTGTGATGAGAGTGCTCTCTCTCTCTCTCTCACATACACACTCACACATGAACCTGTTGTCTATTATTTTATCTATTTATTCATTTATTTTTGACTTGCTAGGGAGTCTGTTCACTCACCAAACACAGAGAAAGAGAGAGGAAAAGTGAAAAAACATCTCTCAGGGGAATGACCACACCACAATCCCTTCTCATCCATTTCCTTTCAGGATTTTGGGCATGCACACACATGTGTCCTGCATGTTTTACAAGCCACTGGGTCCAAAACTCAAACCATGCAGTCAGTCATGTGAGATCCAGCTGCCTTAACCACCATGCCACTCCCTGGCCTGTTGTCTATCATTTTAAAAAGGAGAGAAACACACCAATAATATAAATTGTGTGTGTATGTGCATGATGAAACAGACTAGAAATAACAGACTAGCAAATCTGTAATAACAGCATGACTATCAAGGACATAGGTTATGTGTAAGCTCTCCCTGTGCCCCTTTCTCGCTCATGTGCAAACACATTTATCGTTTTAAAAATTGGAAAGCTCCTGATGACGCCTGCCATAAACCTCTGGGTACGTGAGTTGAAGCTTTTTTTTTTTTAATTGTCCAGCTGTTGGCAGTGACCTACAGTCAAACACATTTTTTTGCAGTGTCTGGGAAGTTCATGAAGCATTATTAGTTTCCATTACTGTAAGAGATACGAGGAGGTATGATAACGTACACGAGTCTGTCATACCTATGACACGACAGCGAATTTCCTAAACTATCAACAATTGCACAGTAAACAGCAGCCTAAAGTGGACAGATGACAATCTCCACAGGACCCAGGGCATGGCATACTCTGGTCCTGGGCCGACTGTCTCTCCTAGCGCTCCAGAGCCATGTGACACTCTTCCAACGTTGCTATTAACTTACCTTTTCTTAAAGGCTATCTTTTTTATTTTATGGGGGGAGGGTGGAAAAAGAGTTAGAGCAAGTGACCCCCAGACAGGGTCATGTAACAGCAAGGTCACCTCCACCCCCTGCCTCCTGGTCATCCAGGATCTCAGGCAGGAGGAGCACCTGGTGAGTTCAGGCCACCAGGTCCTAAACCCAGGTTCCATCAGCCTCAATATCCCCTGGCTGGGCACTCCTGGCTCTCGGAGCCAGAGTGGCTGGGCCGCAAACTACATTCACTTTGATTTTGATTCTCTGTAGACTGCATGATAATTTGCCTTGGGCATCACAGACAGAGGGGTAGAGGGGAGGGGTGGGAAGTGGAGGGGCGCAGGGCTTACCATTGAGCCACTTGGAGTTGTACTGCGCGGTGCGCAGAGGCGGCAGGGTGCCCAGGCTGCGGTAAATGGCCGGGTCCCGCCCAGGGAAGTCCATGGCGGTGGCCGCATAGAGCTCCCCGCCCGCTGTGAGCAGCGCGGTGGAGTTGTGCTGCGGGCTGTAGGGGCAGCGCGCCATGCCGCTGATCTGGTCGTGGACCTCGGTCAGGTTACTCAGCTGGGAGGAGAGAGGAAGCAGTTATCCCCACGAAGGCCTCTTTAACCAGACTAAGGGACTCCAGTCCTCCCCCACCTGGCTTTCCCTTTCCAGATTCAGCTGCCGGTGGTCCGTCATGGTATACACACGTGATGTGGAAAATTTCAAAAGTACACAGTTCAAACATTTCACAAGTTGACAATTTGTTTTTTAATTTGTCAGAGGGCATGTGTGCTCACCAAAGACCAGAGAGAGAAAGTGAAAAAGCGCCCCTCACAGAGGATGGTCATGCTGCAATCCCTTCTCCTCCCGTTCTCCTCTGGGCATGAGTGCATGCATGCCTGGCATAGTTTTCAAGCCACCAGGTCTGAGACTTAAACTGCAGCACAGTTAGCCAAGTGGAATCCAGCACCCTAACCTCCACACCATCTGCTGATCCTGTATATATAATTTTTAATTTACATTTTGTCATTGTATATCTTTATAGTGTACAATATGGTTTTACAAAGCATGCATGCATTCCGGATAGATCAAAGCAAAGATATTACCATACACATCATCCTCAGCAGCTAGCTTCCCATTCTTGTGTCTGTTAAACATCTTTTTCTGAGTCTCTCTCTCCCACTCCGCACTCTCCACCCCTCCCTGTACAATCTCTGATGTCCCCTGTGGCCTCCCTGCTACTGTATCTTCCAGTTTTTTAGTTTCTGCCATAGAAATGCATTTTAACCAGTGTTTTTAATATAATATTTGGCTTTTCCTGATACTCAGTTTTGTAAAGTTTCAAAATGAAGACCTACCGAGCGGTTGGTACAGACAGGTGTGAAAGCATTGGTCCCACAGGTGAATAAACGGTCACCACCCACCAAAAGCACCCGGATATAGTTCTGACATTCCTCCTAGAAGAAAAAAGAAAGCAACACAGGAGACTTGTTAACAAGGCCTAAGCACAAGAGGACCAATGAGTATGAATACATATCATTTGATTAATAAGTAAATGTTGCCCACTAATAAAACAAAAACTCAGATACTGGCCAAAAAGTAACAATGAAACTGTTAAATAATCAGACTTTTTGTATCTGCTGTTCAACAAAAAATATTTATGAAGATAAATATATGTTCAATTAAGTTGTCAAAGCGTGTGTCTTGTTCACACAAACATGGTTCATTTTTGCATTGTATCTGATTATAGTGCAAATTCTAAATTGCCTTGAGGATGTTCTAGGAAAATAAATAACAGGAACCCATCAGGTGCTGCTCATGAAACAGTGCCTTGGAAAATTTCTCCATGATTTAAAAAAAAAAAAAGTTGTGGGAACCAGCAGTTAGCGTAATGGCTATGTCGCTGGACTCCCACGTAGTCGACCGCGGTTCGTGTCCCGGACCCGGTGGCTTAAAACTCATGCCGGGCGCATGTGTGTGCGTGCCCAAGATCCCGAGAGGAGAATGGAGGAGAAGGGATTGCGGCGTGACCATCCCCCCGGGGGGTGATTTCTCGCTTTCTGTCTCTATGTCTCTCTCTGTCTGTATGGCGAGCGCACGCGCCCTACAGTGAAAATCTCTCCAAAAAAAAAAAGTTGTAATGTTTCTCCTGTAAGGAGGTCACATGTGAAATTCTATATACAAATTGTAACAGGTTTTATTTTATGGTCTCAAGCTGCTTGAATATGTAGCAAGTACCTAGAGACACACTAATTCATTGATCGACTAGTAAAATCATAACTAGTAAGGAAAGGAAGTCGGGAACATTTGCAACACCCCAGACCTAAAGACACCAAGACACCCTAGAGTTGAGCATGTTTTGCAACCATATACAAGACAGGCTGTGGCCAGTAAGTGATGGCCTAGTGAGCTAGCATGATCTTCACTTGTCCACCAAGCCTTTATTGACCACCTACTCTGTGGTAGACACATGGAGCTGTCCCCCAGCGTAACCAGGAGCACAGGGGGACAGTTTATTATGCAGCTCCAAAGAGGGGAGGGAAGGGATCAGGTGTAGGAAAGCTTCCTGCAGGAGCTGAAACCTCAGGTGAATTCTAAGGGAAAAGCAAGCTTCATGAGACTTCCTGGACACTTGCAGAACTTTACTGAGCAAAGGAGAGAGCAGAGATAACACGCAGGAGGAATGCACTGCACTGAGGCATCGTGGCTAGAGCAGGGTGCTTTCACTGTGCACAGAAGTAATGGTGTAAGTTAGGGAACCACACACAGGACAAGTGTGCCAGGCTAGGGCATCTGCAATCTACTCTGAATATAAAGGGACACACAGAATGCTTTTTCTGCATGGAATTTGGGCTTTACATTATGTTTATTATTAAAGAACCACTCAAGAATCTGGAAATCAGGAGGCTGTAGTGAGAAAGGGCAGTAGGCTCTCGCTGTTTTGAGCATGGACTCGGGGTGAATGTGAAAGAACAATGCTGGAAACCAGAAATCTTGGCATGCAAAACACTGCATGAGGACACAGTGATAGCACCCCATGCTGTCTGAAATCTGTGTAATCGGGTTTAGTGGTACAGCAACCCTCTTAGACCAAATGGAACCCTACCCTCAATGAAAATGCTGATTAGCTATAACCTAGACAAGGCCAAGTGCAAAGGTGTTTGAGTGCTGAATGGTCAGAGCAATAACAAGAAGGAGTAATTCTAAAGCTATTACTAACAATAACAGCAAAAAAGGATCATATGCTGCTAAACGGAGAAGAAAGAAACTCAGGAAGATCTAAACTGTTAGGAGAATGAAGAATACGTGGAAAGGTAGATGGTAAACTGGGGAACTGAGAAAGGTACACCAGAGGGAAGAGGCTTGTTTTGTTTTGTTCGCTTTTGTTTTTGTAACTGGAAAAGGAGTAGCAGAGTTCTAAGGAGGAAAAGAACAAAACAAAAGACTTCAAAGAACCACATAGTTATCCCTTCTCAGGCTGCAGGAACACAGGAGGGGCACAGTGTAAGGGCGGCCTCAGAGAGCAGAGTGTGGGGTTGTAAAGACAGGATGAAAGTGGGTATGAAACCAGTCACCTAAGCCCGTCCAGGGGCTCCAGGACACCTCAGTGCTCACAGGGTGGCGTGAGCTCTATGGCACCGATGGGTGAAACAGATGTGATAATGACACTGTAATAAAGGCTGGACAGAAACTCACAGGAGTGAAAAGGGCTGAGGATTTTGTTGTTTGCAGCTGCTTTTAAAATCCTTTCAAGAACAAGGCAGTATGTAAAAAAATATTTTGTTTTTGTTTTAAAACAAGAGCCTTCGACAAGGTATAAATGCATTAGAGGTAGTTGCATACCCATGAATGGCATGGCCAAGAGGGAATCATTTCAAGAGTATCATCAGGATTGGAACCAGCAGTTAGTGTAATGGCTATGTCACTGGAATTCCATGTAGTTGACTGCAGTTCGAGTCCCGACCCCGTCGCTTAAACTCACGCTGGGCGTGTGTGCGTGTGTGCCCAAGATCCTGAGAGGAGAAAGGAGGAGAAGGGATTACCTCTGGGGGATAATTTCTCGCTTTCTATCTCTCTGTCTCTCTCTGTCTTTCTGGAGTGTGCATGCGCCCTATAGCAAAAACTTTTCAAAAAAAAAAAAAATCATCAGGATCGAAAAGATAGGATCTCATAATTGAGTCTACGGACCTGGAGAAGAGAGACAGCAAGTGCCTCTAGTCAGTGAAAGAAAGAGAAAGAATCGAGATGACGAATGTGGTGTTTGTCTTCATCTCCTGGAAGGAGAACAAGTGAGAGTGGAGGTCTTTAACCCCTCTGATGGCCCAACCCCAAGGCTGGGGGAGAACCCACAATCAGGTGACCTTGCCTGAAGATCGAGATGGAGGAAGGGGCTTATGAGAGGTGAGAAGAATGCAACCAGTAGTCTTAAAAACTCAAAGAAAAATAAATGAAGGGGGGGCGCACAGAATGCTTGCATCTGAAACAGGGAATCAAAGAGCATGTTCTGGTAATCAGGACCATGTGAGCACACGCACAGCTATGATCAGTGACAGGCCATGTACCCCGGTGTCACTGACCAGCTTCCTGAGCTGAGTGTGATGGGAGAAGGAAGATGATCACAGAGGAGCCTGAAAAATGTTCCCAAAATGATAAAGGATGGGTCCGGCCCTGTGGAACCCAGAGAGCTTAAGACAACAGCACTGAACGAGGTCATGTCCTAGGGCAGCTGGTTCACCTCAAGATCCCATGGAACAGGGTGAAGGAGGGCAAGGAGGTGATTCTCACCAGTGAGGCCAGGGCAGGGAGGGCTCATCACAGGGTCCTACAGGGGCAGCCAGCAGAGGTAGGAGGAGCTGGTATCTCCTTTTCACCCACTCAACTGGCTGATTCAGCTTGCTTCCTGTTCTCAGTCCCTTAAATGTTCCCACTTATTTATTTGTTGGTTTTGTTTTTTCTTTTGCTATAGGAAGTAGATGCTCATCAGTGAGAGAGAGAGAAAAAGAGAGAGAGAGAGAGAAGGTTAGAAAACCCCTCCTGGGGGGGGATGGCCACACTGCAATCCCTTCTCCTCCACCACCCTCTCAGGAATTAGGGCATGCAAACACATGTGCCTGGTGAGATTCTCAAGCCACTGGGTCCAGGACTCAAACCGCAAAGCTGGGCATGTGGGACCCAGCACCTTAACCTTCATACCACCTGCTGGCCCAGATTCCTCTTGTTTAATTCACAAACCAACTTAGCTGATTTAGGAGCAGATTCTAAACAAAAAATTCTAAATAAATAAATATATTGAAAATAACTTCAAGAGATTCAGACCAAGTCCAAACAAAATAGAATGCAAAATATGAAGGAAAAAAAAAAAAAAAAGAGAAAGAAAAAACGGATGTATTGGGTCGTTGGAAAGTCATGCATTTTTGCAAAGAAAAACATAGAACAAATAGGCCAAGACTTTTCTGGCAACCCAATACGCAGGCTTGTAAGCAGAAGATAGATTTGAGAATCAAAGAGTCAAAATTAAGAATGAGCAGAGATGGCCTTGAGTGCCAGTCTGTGAAGTCACTAGCCTCGTCCCGAGGTTCTCTGACCTAACGTTCTCCTAAGTCTATGGGCAGAGCTCTCGGTCTGTCTCTCCTCCACATGTGGCCTTTTCCTGGACTATAGGACTTGCTTAAGGACTGCTTAGAATTGCCTATTTTATAATATAAGCATAATGTGGAAGTTCCTTTCATAGACTCTCTTAAAGGCTCCTCTTATAAATCGGTATGTATGAGTATCTATGATCTTCTTCTTCTCGTTCAAGAATTTTCCTTCTGTCCCATTTCTGCATCTTGAAAATGGGTTAAGATGTTTTAATGAATTCCAATTCTCCAAGAGGTCCTAGGCCAAGTGTTCCAGGCCACCAGCAGCTGCAGCCACATGGCTCCATGGCATAATGAGCGTCCTCTGTGGACATTCCATAGAATGGCCAGGTCACCCTGGTCCATGTCCAGGTCACCCTGTTCTTGACCTCGAGGTGGTTCTTGCTCGAGGTGGGAGCCAAGACTCACAGTGCTGACTCACAGTTGGTGCCTCAGGTGGGTCTGGCTCAGGATGCAGGCCCAGCCCCGGAAGAGAAAACACATATTTCAAGGGCTATTTTCTTAATAAGCAAACTGGCCTTGCCTTAGAGCATTTCACCATTTTTTTCCCCAAACAGGTATGTTCTACTTGAAGAAAGACTTTCCAACTGTGTAGAAAGATGACTGCAAGCAAGGACGATCCCTCAAGCATCTGCTCTGCGACACCCCACACATCACCTAACCCATCCATTTCGGGGAGGAGGAGGAGGGCGGGGAGCCTGACAGCATTTATGTTACTCGCTGCACGCCCCTGGTGAGAACAACGGGCCTGCCTCTTGATGATGGATCACCTTGAGAGCAGCCAGAGTGCTGAAGAGAACAATTCACAGTAAGAGAAG